AGCTGTGCTTGGCCTGTGGGAAGGGGGGGAGGGGAACCGACAGGGCTAGGAGGGGGCAGGCCATGAGGTGGAAGTCTGGGGGGGGGGCGTTGTTTGGGCAGGACTCTGGGGAATGGGAAACCTCTTTGCATGGGGGTGAGGCAGAAATGGGGGGAGGGGCTGTTACAAGTAAGTGGGAGAGGGCGGCAGCACTGGGTGGGTGACTCCAACAAGCTGAGCTGAACCTGCTGTTTGAAAGGCGAATCCCCATCCTGGGCCCAGAAGAACAAAACCCCTTCAGCTGTCTCCACACAGCAGCGCTCCTAATACAGGAGGCCCCCGACTTGTGACCGCCCGAATTCCGACCCCCCACGTTCCAACCCCCTTCACTTAGAACCGTTTTTTTAAGGGCAGAAGGGGCCGGAAACCCGATTTACGTCCTCGGCCTGCATTTGTGACCGGGCACGGTGCCTATCCTAAATGAGCATTCGAGTTACGACGCCCCCAACTTATGACACTTCCCAAGGAACCAATCACGTCGGAAGTTGGGGGCCTCCTGTACATCCCGTCAAATGTTTCTCTTCCCAGCTTTCTCCTTGTTCTCTAAAAATGCTGAGGAAGAGGAAAGGACCCGGGAAGGGGAGAGTGCAGGAACTGAAGACTCCATTATATTCCTTTTGAAAAAAGCCAAGGTGAGCTCCTGAGCCCCTGGAGAACTGCTAATTGTGTGTGCTGGGCCCCAACAGCTTTACTCAGTGACCAGGACTGCCAGCTTGTTACACAATTAACTTGTTACATACAGTGATGGCAGGGAAAGAAGCATGCTGGTGTGGTGGGGGAATTGCTGGGAACGTCCACTGCGACAGCTAATGGGAGGCCTGTTGTGAGATGAATTCAGGGCTCTCGGCCACCCATCCAGGTGGATGAGCCCATCCAGACTCGGTACGTAAGAGGCTAACTTATAAGCGTGAGCTACACGTGGCTCCAGCTCCTGGGGAGTGACCGCCCCGCGTTGCTGCCTCTGTGTCCCACGGAGCGGGGTAGCAGACAGGAGCCAGTGCGTGCTGGGAACTGTCTTTTAAGCCAGCTCCCTGCGCAGGCCAGCTCCAGCGGAGCTGGTTACTGCCCCTTGTGTAATCATTTAACCACTCACATTTTCAGCAGCTCCACGGTTAGCAAATGACTCTCATTTTAACATCGTTAGTCTAGATGCACGAGCAAGGGAGGGTGCCCAAGCATCAGCATTGAGGAGTCTTTAAGGCAGCCAGAGCTGACCTGCTTTTCCCAAGTCACTGATCAGGGCAGCATCTGGCAACGTGTGCTGGTCTCTCTCTGCTCCTGTGAGCAGCATCAGGCCAGGTGTGGTCACCTGCCCGGTGGTGCCCTTTCTTGGCCTGCCACTACGCTGGGCACACCTCCACCTGCCGGGGTCTCTAATCATCCTAGATTGTCCCTCCTCTCCCCTTCCAGCTCAGCATCATGAAGGGCGAGCTTGAGGAAGCAGAGCGGATTCTGCATCAAGCTGCTAGACTCTCCCATCAGTCGGACAACAAGAGAGCCATCATCTACACCTATGACCTGGTAATCTTCGGAAGGCTTTGGCCTCACAGCTGTGAGGATGTGTCTCTGGGCTCAGATTTATTCATCATAAATGTGTCAAGCTACGTGGCTGCTAGGATTTTATCACGTGGCTGGCTGGAGTAGCAGGCAATGTTCCCTCTGATTTTTTTCTTTATATGTGCGGAATAAATTTTAAGTGCACCAAGGCATGTGGGGAGGTGCACCACCAATAGAAACACATACTGTTGGCTGTGGGCGCTCTGCCAATCAGCTGGGTAGCAGCTGCTTCTGTCCTGGGCAGCTGCCCAAGCGCACACTTTACAGGGAACACTGATCGCGGGGCCTGGACTTCCTTCCAGTCTTGTTTTCATATTCCTGTTACTTCCCTGGTCCTCCGCTGGGCCGTGACTTCAGCAGCTGGTAACACGTGTTTGCTGCGGGGGAAGTTGCAGGCAGAGAGAGGAAAATATTTTGTGCACATCTGCCCCAGTGTCGGCGGTGGCTCGGCATGGTGAAGCTTTGCCATCCCTGAGTTCTTTCTCCTGCTTCTCTTCCAGATGGCGAACCTTGCGTTCCTGAAGGGCCAGCTGGACAGCGTGAGTAAAGTCCTGTCACTTGAGTCTGTGAAGAGCCCTGTACTTGTGAGAGCTTCCGAGGGCTGCCTACAATGTTAAGTATTGCTGGGTTATGCGAAGGGATTCTGCTAAGGCTTGTGCGAGGAATAGGTTCCCGTCCTGCCCCCAGCTAAACCCAGGCGTTGGCTCTTTAACATCCTCTCTCTCTTGTTCTAGGCAGAGAAGCTCTTTAAAGCAACAATGAGTTTCTTGCTGGCGGGGGACATGAAGCAGGTAAGGGCGTGTCTCCAAGGGCTTCCTGCGGGGTGGGTTATGCGAAGGGATTCTGCTAAGGCTTGTGCGAGGAATAGGTTCCCGTCCTGCCCCCAGCTAAACCCAGGCGTTGGCTCTTTAACATCCTCTCTCTCTTGTTCTAGGCAGAGAAGCTCTTTAAAGCAACAATGAGTTTCTTGCTGGCGGGGGACATGAAGCAGGTAAGGGCGTGTCTCCAAGGGCTTCCTGCGGGGCGCGCGGTTCCCCAAGCCGCTCGGGGAAGGTTTGGCCAAGCATCTGCTGCCAGTGGCCTTGCACCACCCCCGCTGGCGCCTCCTCGGGGGAGCTGCTGGTACTGGTGTAGCAGTGAGCTTCCCTGCCATTCAGTGGAGGCATTATCTTGGCCCGTGCCTGGTCTCCGAGGAAGCAGCGATTCTGCTGTAAGGGTAAAGAGGAGCGAGTGTGGCCGCCCACTCCAATGTGTCTTTGGTTTCTTCCTCCCGGCAGGATGACAATGCCATCATTGAGATGTCCCTCAAGCTGGCCAGTATCTATGCTGCTCAGAACCAGTGAGTACTGGCGTGAGACTGCAGGCCAGCTGGCTAGCTCCAGGGTACTGGGGATGTAAATAACCATTACAACGGGAGACTTGTTAAATGGATAAAATTAGACCCCTTGGCGGGCAGGCAGATGGCAGCCAGGGCCAGATTCCTGCCCACTCTCCCGGGCTGTTTCAGAGCAGCCTGGGTCCTGCCTGATGGCCCCGCACAGCTGGGCTCAGGATCCCGCTGGGTCTGGATCCTGCCTGGCCACCTGGGCCACTCCAGTGTGGCCGGCTGAACTCAGCCAGGGCTGCAGCCATCCCGCCGGTTGCCCGGTAAGCATTCCAATCAGACTCCTGCTTGCTGGCCAACCGGTTAACCTTGTGCACCCCTACAGGAGACCAGTGGCGATCTGGGGGCAGGGGAAGCTTCTGAGCCGTTGATCGGGGGAGAGGCCCCCTGTCGGCGGGGGAGGGGTTCTACCAGCTCAAGGGGGAAAGCAGGAGGGGTCCCCATCCTGCAGGAGATTCTCAACAGGGACACCTCAAAGTCGGTGTCTTCCTGCTTGTGAGGCATGTACTTAGCAGCTGGGCGAGGCCCTGCCAATCTGCGTCGTCCTCTCCAGTTAGGCCACTTGGGTCTTACAGAGAGAACCCCCAGAACGGCCACGTGCCCTGGGGCTCTGGAGCAAAGGGCAGCAGCAGGGCCTGCTCCCTCCTGTGCCCTGGAGGCACTGCCCTTGTGGGCAGGACGCTTCTCCAGAGGGCTCCGATCCCAGGGCCTGGCTGCTGAGGAGGCCCTGCCAATCTGCGTCGTCCTCTCCAGTTAGGCCACTTGGGTCTTACAGAGAGAACCCCCAGAACGGCCACGTGCCCTGGGGCTCTGGAGCAAAGGGCAGCAGCAGGGCCTGCTCCCTCCTGTGCCCTGGAGGCACTGCCCTTGTGGGCAGGACGCTTCTCCAGAGGGCTCCGATCCCAGGGCCTGGCTGCTGAGGGGGCCAGGAGGGCAGGGGAGGGTCCCACCAGGAAGCCA